GTGGGTGCTGAGGGGAAAAGGGCAGAAATAGAGAGCTGTTTGATGGATACAGTTTTGGTTTTAAAAACAATAGTCCTGCAGATGGATGGTGGTAAGAGCTGCACAAAAATGTGCATATACTTAATACCATGAACTGTACACTTTATGTTAAAAGTAACATTAAAAATGGTTATGGTGGTTGCAGGGCATGGTGGCTCATGCTTGTGATCCCAGCACTTTAGGAGGCCAAGGCAGGAGGACTGAGGCCAGGAGTTTGAGACCAGCCTGAGCAACATAGTGAGACCCCCATCTACAAAATAAAAAGTTAAAAAACAATTAGCCCCACATAATAGTGGACACCTGTAGGAACAGCTGCTACTCAGGAGGCTGAGGCTAGAAGATGGGTTGAGCTCAAGAGTGTACGGTGAGCTATAACTATGCCACTGCACTCTAGCCTGCATGATAGAGCAAGACCCTGTTTCTATTTTAAAAAATCATGGTAGTTAACTTTAGGTTATATGCATTTTACCACAATTAAAAATTGAAAAAGGGCAGGCACCATGGCTCGCACCTGTAATCCTAGCACTCTGGAAGGCTGAGGCAGGTAGATTGCTTGAGCTTAGGAGTTTGAGACCAGCCTGAGCCAGAGTGTGACGCCCCTTCTCTAAAAATAGCCACGTGTTGTGATAGGCACCTGTAGTCCCAGCTACTTGGGAATAGGAGGCAAGAAGATCACTTGAATCCAAGAATTTGAGGTTGCTGTGAGCTGTGACACCATTGCACTCTACCAAGGGTGACAGAATGAGACTCTGGCAAAAAATAAAATAAAATAAAATAAAATAAAGTAAATAAAATAACTAAACTAAATAAATAAAAATTTAAAAATAAAAATAAATAAATAAAATAAGGTAAAAAATTTTAAAAAATAAAATAAAAATAGAAAACAAAACAAAACAGTTTTCCCAATGGTTAAAATGCCAAGTGCCAAGTAGTAAACAGGAAAAGGACAAGAATGGAAAATTTCAGTTGGATTTGGCAAAGAAAGGCACCCTAGCACAGCAGGTGGGGGCAGAGGCAGCTGCCACACATAATGAAAAGTGTTAAAACTCATCAATAATCAAGGAAAGATTTTTTTTTTTTGCAGTTTTTGGCCGGGGCTGGGTTTGAACCCGCCACCTCCTGCATATGGGGCTGGCACCCTACTCCTATGAGCCACAGGCACTGCCCGGAAGTTAAAGATTTAAGCACGAGATCATTTCTAGCCACCAAATTGGTAAAAAATTTTAACACTGGGCGGCACCTGTGGCTCAGTGAGTAGGGCACTGGCCCCATATACCTAGAGTGGAGGGTTCAAACTTGGCCGTGGCCAAATTGCAACAAAAAATAGCCAGGCATTGTGGTGGGCACCTGTAGTCCCAGCTACTCAGAAGGCCAAGGGAAGAGAATCGCCTAAACCCAAGAGCTAGAGGTTGCTGTGAGCTGTGATGTCACCGTACTCTACCGAGGGTGACACAGTGAAACTCTGTCTCAAAAAAAAAATTTTATTTTTAACACCCAAGTATCACAAGGTAGGGGGACTGGGAGTACACAAAGCCCAGCCAGGCCCTGCCCAGCAGCCATCGGGAGTGGGAATCTAACTTTGGAAGCTAAGGACGCTCAGGTGCCCTGTAAGCCTGGACTGCAAGCTGTCCTAAAGAGGTCAGCACACAAGCCCCCAGAATCCACCTCCACCAGACAGGCCGCTTACCTTTCAGCTCATCAGCAGCGAAGAAGGCAGTGAGACAGTCCTCCAGAGTGACAACAGGCCCCCAAAACCAGCTGGGTGTACAGGATACCACAAACCTAGAGACAAAAAAGGGGTGCCAGGTGCTGCAGGGTCTGGACACAAATAGCACTTGGGGGGGATTTGGACTGAAGTCTGTTCAGGTATGAGCCCCAAAAGAACCTGAGGAATCACTCTACCGAGGCCTTTACTCCAGAGGCCTGGAGCTAGACACCTCTATATCCTTGGGCAAGTGATGTGACCGCTCACTAAGCCTGGCCTTCCCCACCTATGACAGCCAGGCACGACAGCCCCAAGAAAGCAGCAACTGGCCAGAATTCCCTTCTGCCCACCATGTGGTCACCTCCCTGCTGTCACTGCCCTTCAGCTCCACAGCACCATCCAATTCTAGCCTCCCCCAAATGGCCAAGGAACCCTCCAACCCCAGCCATTTAGCAAATACCCTTTGGCCCCTCCAGACCCTCCCAGGCTCCTGAAAACACTAGAAGTTCACTTGTAGTCTGTCTCCGCCCCAGGGAAGCCAGGACAGCACCCAGGACAGGGCCCAGCCTTGTGCCCAGCTGGCAGGAGGGTAAGCGCACCATCGGACATACTCCATGATGAAGGCCAGCCAGCCTTGGGCAGCATAGCTGTCCCCACAGGCACCTGGCTTGGCCGGCACATTCTGGTATATGGCTGAGTGGAGCTTGGCCAGGTCCTCCTTGCCAGGAATAGGCAGTGACAGGTCCTGGAATGTCTCCACTGTGGTGGACACCTGTAGAGTTGAAGGTCAGTCTGGTGCCTACCTTCTGGCAGCATCTGCACCCCAAACCCCAGCTGGCAGGTAAGGGGCAGAGGGCCGGTTCTCCATGCCCTAGACATGGGAGCTCCACAGCAGGGCCCTCCCCGGAGGAGGGCAGGAAGAACTGATGGAGAGCCCAGCGCAGCCCAACCAGAAGGAGGGCCACTGAGGCCACTGGCAGCCCAGTCTGGCTCTCCTCATCCATGGGGAACCCACCCGGTCACAGGTGAGACACTGCACGAGGCTGAGAATGGAGCCATCAAAGATGTCTGAGATGACGCTACGGTAGTGCTGCTCCTTCCGCCTCCGGCTGCCAGAGCTCATGACCTGGGCTGGGGACACAGCACCAGAGTAGGCCCAGCCTCCAGGCACCCAGGTATAGCATGGGCACAGGTACCAGGGTGTCTGTATAATGGAACTCCACCCCCCATGTCCCAGAGAGCTATAAAGGTTGAGAGACGCCACCTGAGTCCTCAGCACAGCCCCTTGTAACAACTGCTTAAAAATGGCACGACTCATGCTCCCAGCCCCAGGCTCATCTCCCCTCCCTGCTACCTTCCGAACCTTTCTTCAGCACATATGATGGCCCCATCCTCACAGGGCTTGCACGAGGAGGACTGCTGGACAGCTTGGCGTGGCCCTCGTGGTGGACAGGGCTGCAAGGGCGGGAGGAGCTGCGCAGCTGGGCATCATTGTCTGGCTCTGGGAGCAGAGAGGGGACCTCACTGAACCACGGCATCTAGTTTGGGGTCTATGCAACTCCACAGCCTCAGCAGGAAGACAACCCGCCAGAACCTTCTCCCAGAATGAAGGCCTGAACCCAGTGTGCCTTCTCAGCCCTGTGCCC